GGCCCCTATATATATATATATATATATATATATATATATATATATATATGATTTATTGAGATTTTCAAATCTTACAAAAAAGTCAAGATCGTCCAAAAAGCATAAAATTGAAGGTGTTGACTATTGACAAGAAAAAATGTGTGAGTCAACGCTCTTATTTTCAAAGAAACGACTTCGTTTCCCCTTTAATTTATTGAATGAAGAATTCTCTTTTGGACACTTATGACCTTTCGCCCATTTGGTACGCCTTTTTGGGTATTTATTCAAACCAAAATTTCATAATTTATGTATAGAAACTTCTTGTTTTCTTTCATTGTATCGTTATTTTAGTTCGATTTAACGTAATCACCGAGTTATACAGTTGTCGAAGATGACCGAAGGATTGACGATTGATCAAATCAACGAGTTTCGTCAAGCGTTTTCGATGATTGATAAGGATTCCGATGGTTTGTCCTTCTCTTTCCGTCTTTCCGATTTGAAACTTTGATTTTGTATCGTGTTATTGTTTATAGGATTGATAGAACAGTGTCAAGTTTGCTGTCTGATGTCGTTTTTAACTGAATTATTGGTTAGAAGATGTTCGGTTTAACGATCATGGTTTGTTTTGATTTTCAGGATATGATTTGATATTTGTTTGACTGTTTGTTGTTTTTTGATGTTCATAGGGTTGATTACTACAGATGATCTGATAGGTGTGATTCAGACGTTGAATGAAAATGCTACTGACGAGGAGGTCCAAGAAATGATGAACGAAGTCGATACGAACGAAGAGGGCACTATCGATTTTGATGAATTTCTCAATATAATGTCCAGACGAGTAAGGGTAAGTCCGTAATTTTTTTAAACAAAAACATGACGTAAATAAAACCGAATACAACCACTTTTAACGGTAAAATGATGTAATAGTCCCCGTGAAGAAAAAAGCGTTTATTGTGATGACGGTTTTTGTTGCCAAATGTCGTGTTATGTCAGTCGTGATATCATTAAAGAAAACTTGAAAATCGACTTTTGTATCATCGTCGTTGATTATTGGAAATTAACAGGATAATGTGAGCGACGAGTTGAAAGAAGCTTTTAAAGTATTTGATAGAGATCAGGATGGTTATATTTCACCAGATGAGGTAATTTTCGCTCTTTAACTACTTCTGAGTTCACTGTGTACTTTTCACAGTAATTACATATATCCGTTTTCTGTATATTTATTATATATCTCGTGAATTTATGATTGTAAATAATGACAATGCAGTACAGTAAAATCATATGGAACCACAATACTGATTTTTATGATGCTATATGCAGTTGAGAAATGTAATGATAAACTTAGGGGAGCGTTTAAAAGACGAAGAGTTGGAACAAATGATACGAGAAGCCGATCTCGACGGAGATGGCGTTATTAGCTATGACGAGTTTGTCAGGGTTATGATGAGCGCCTCGTAAACAAGCTAAACGACGAGGTTACGTATTTGTCAACGACAATGTTTGATATTCTAGTAAACAATAAGGCTAAAATTAACCCAATTTACGCAAAATATTCCCCGTAAAATGATTTCTTTCTTTTATTTTTTAGTTTCTTATTCTCAATTTCCAATTTTACGTTGTATTGTTTTACTACTACGTGCCGATAAACACACGTTATAAAGAAATGGTAACAACAGATGTTTTTGCGGGATTCCAATCTTCTGATTTATTTCATATCAAGGAGTTGCGGTGTCGAGAAGTAAGATAAAACTGCACAATAAATGTTTTATTTTTATTATGTATTCGAATATAAAAGGCTTATTAATGGGTAAGAAAAGAATTTAAATGCATTGAAGTGTAACGTAGTTTTGATTCAGTTCTTCTTTTTGAAGTATATATTATATTTATATACGGCAAACGCAACAAATAAACCCACACACCCTCCTCACCTTTGGTGAGATTTGAACCCCTGATCTTCTAGGAGGCCAAATGCTATGATACCGTTAGGCCAAAGGCTACGATACCGTTAGGTCAAAGGCCTTTTGGTTTGATTCAATTCTTATTAATGTAAGAAATGAATTTTTCTTCAGTTGACACATAAAAAAATTCAGTATTTCTTGTTGTATACAGATTTTAATCCGTAACCATGGTAATCTCGTAATATTTGATGACATACATGTATCATGTTTGTTGTTTCCTTTATCGTAACATTTTCGTAAACATTTCATAAAAAACTATCCATGTCATCATCTGTTGCAAAATAACTAAGAATGGTCAAAACTGGCACAAAACATGAAAAAATTACGAACTTTGTTACATTGATCGAGAAAAAAAAACCAGTTTACACATGAACTAAACCAAATTTTATTATATTATGATGTCTTTTGTCCTTTCAGTAGTTACATATCTTTTATAACGATCGATTCATGACGAGAAAACAGAAAAAATAAAAAAAAAACAAGTTGAGAAAAAAATACTGACATCTTGATTTGATGATTTATATCAGATAAATTAACCTCGCAAACCCATAATATATCAGATAAATTAACCGAGACCTTAAGACATTTTTGACATTTGGAGTCGAAACTCAAACCAATCAGACATGAGTCTTGTGGTTTAAATAATTAGTTTTTAATTAAAAAATGAAGAAAAAAAATCAGTAATACGTTTATAAGTTGTAGGCCGTATTTTTGTAAAATATTTTCTTGAGACAAAAATATAAAGATTTTAAATTATTTATTTAGGGGCCTTTACCAAATGTTTAACTGGATAAGTGCTTACCAAGTCATATTACCTTTTGGGGTGAATATGGTAACGGACCAAGAATCTTATCCAGTAAGAGCGAGACAAGTACCAAGAGTCTTACCCAGTAAGTGAGAACGTTGATTCTTACCACAGTTAGCACTTATCGCGTAAATTATTACATACAATTCCGTTTTTGATGGACCAAAATTTTACCCGGTAAGTAAATGATAGTGTTTAAATTTACTGGTAAACGCTTACCTGGTAAGTGTTTGGTAAACAGCCACTTAGTTCAAAGACACATGAAAAAGTATGACAAAATTCTGTATTTGTTCTACAATATTACAAACATATCTGAATATTTTCAATCGATCATCCAACTGCAATCCGATAAGCAATCAACAATTATAACCTCTTTCTTTCAAAAATGCATAGATTATTTATATATAATTAATTTTTAGTAAATAATATTAATTAAATATGATAATGTGTTTTGAATTTATTTATTTAAAGAGAAAAGTAATAAATGTATAAAAAGAAGTCATGTTCGTATAAACAAGCAATTAATGAAACGCGGTCGTTGTACGTTGACTTTGTAAAAAGATTGAGTGGCAAAAAAGGGGGTGTTGGTTAATAAAATGCATTCCTTTCATCATTGACTTTTCTCACAAACCAAAAATTCATATATTCACACACACACCCCCACACCCACACCCCCACCCTTATACAACATCGTGAGACGGTTCGGTTCATATATGATGTAGATGTTATATATATATATATATACTAGAAGCGTACTCGCGCAATGCAGCGAGATACATCATGATTTTAATATTTCATTTTCTTCTTTATCTCA